AGGTGAGCAGCCTAGGCATGCTAGTCGCTAGCCTCTACAATGCTAATGCAAGCTTATCCATGCTACTCGCTAGCCTCTACGATGCTAAAGCAAGCTTATCCATGCTGGTCATTGCTAGCCTCTACGATGCTAATGCAAGCTTATCCATGCTAGTCGCTAGCCTCTACAATGCTAATGCAAGCTTATCCATGCTACTCGCTAGCCTCTACGACGCTAATGCAAGCTTATCCATGCTAGTCGCTAGCCTCTACGATGCTAATGCAAGCTTATCTAAGCTGGCTTAGGAATAGATATAGCTTGCGCTAGCAACTGCTTGTTGTGCAATAGTCTTAATTTTGACCCTCATACTGCACTATAGGGGACACCCTGGACAAGTCCATCACAGGGACACAGAGACAAATGAGACAAACAACCATTCACTCTCTCTCACACACACACACCTGTTAGCCTAACACTCGTGGTTTTTGTCAGTGAAACTGGAGTACCCGGAGGAAACCCAAACATGCACAGAGAGAACATGCATGCTCTACACAAAAAGGTCCCTGGCTGGGATTTGATCCAGCAAACTTCCTTAATGTTCAAAATTCACACACACACAAAAATTAATGAAAAACATTTGCATGCAGCACAATGTGTCAGGGGAAACCAGCTGGCAAAGACAGACATGAAATGAAAGGATGGTTGAAAAAWAAGCAGATGAAAAGAAGGACAAAAACAGGACATGTGAGCAGCRGAGATTTGTTTTTGCTGCTACTGGCTCAGGCTCAGATTCTGTTTTGAGTTTTATCCAACAGTTGTTGAACACCTGTTTGGCACAAAGACATGTTTCTTTGAGCAATCTATATCATTGTTCGAACYCGTTAGGAATTTCAATTTTCACTTAAATGAAAACGTTTAAATGAAAGAATCTAATTAGAAACCTAAAAACTACTCAGTGAATTGTTTTGTTTCATCTATCTACATAAAAAAAACATTTCAGCTGATTAATACCTGCCTTTCAGACRGATAATGTCTTTTAAAACCAACAACAGACTTCTTTCATAGAAAGTGCCTCTTTATACAATATACTTCGATTTTAGAGTGACAAACTCTACACATCGGTCAGATACAGCGGGTAAAATAAGTATTGAACACGTCACCATTTTTCTCAGTAAATATATTACTAGAGGTGATAATGACATGAAATTTTCACCAGATGT